TCACTTAGCAGTCCCTCTACCAAGCTTTAAGGCAGGCTCTCTGGGAGCTGCCTTCCTTACCCCATTAGTGTGTGAAAGAGCCAGATCCTTGAACTGTAAGTGATGAAAATGGGTTTCATAGCTGAAGAATTGTTACCCGGCACTTTTCCTTTATTGCTTAATCACTGAGATTTTCCCAATTTAGTGTTTACAGGAGAAAGATTTTTATTTCAGAGATTGGAAAAAACAACTTAGCATTTTATAGATTACATAAAAACAGGGCAATACTTAATTTTTATACTTTTTATAACCACATTTAACTGCCTTAATCCAGTCTTATAAGTGAACACTAATTCTTTTGCCCAGGGCTTGAGAATATCAGTAAAGATTGTCAAGGAAATCTGGCTTTATAAATATTTTCTCCCATTGTCTTTTGTTCAGATTCTTGGAAAGTGCTATGGAGAAGGGCAGAAAAGAAGATAAGATTTGTTTATTTTCATTTGCTAGAAAAAGCTGCCATTTTTCCTTTACTAGCAAAAGCAGAGAATAACTAGCAAGGCACCTTGTCCATGAGGACAATATTGTTTGCTTTGAAGCTCATGAATGCACGGAATCATCTTCCCTCTGCTTCTCTTGTACGTAGGGTCACTGTGAGTCAGAGCCGACTTGGTGGCACCTAACAACAGTGTATAATGTTATTAACACTAATGAAACTTAACGTGTATTTTGCCCAGAATTTTCAGTCTCTTTTATCTTTCAAAGAACCTATAGTGGTTGACATAGGTCTGTAGTTTTGTGCCAAACGAGTTGATTCTGACTCATAGTGACCCTATAGGACAGTGTTGAACTGCCCAGTCGGGTTTCCTAGGCTGTAATCTTTATGATAGCACACTGCCAGTTCTTTGCCCCTGGGGAGTGAACTGAGTGGGTTCAAAGCACTAACCATTTGGTTAGCAGCTGAGTGCTTAACTATTGTACCACTAGGGCTTCCAAATCTGAACTAATTTTGTATAAAATTGAACAATTAATCTCTGCATTAATTTGTTTGCACTCACTAGATGTCAAACTAGCTTCGTTTTTAATCTCTAGAAATAGTGACTTCTCTTTCTATACCTGATTTTATGTCCAAATTGTTTTTCTTACAGCATGACCAAGTGCACCTTACTTAATTTTATATTTTTTGTTCAAAGACTGAAAGACCAGTGTGGCTGAAGCATAGAGTGAAGGGCAGACTACAGGAGATGAGGTGGAGAGAGGTCAGATCTTACACAGTTATATGACAGAGATGATGAGGAGCTCAGATTTTATTTGGAGTGAGATGGAGAACCATTTAAACAATTGATGTGATTTAGATTTACATTTTTAAAAGCTCACTCTGGCTACGAAGAAACAGCAGGGAGCAACAATAGATGTAAGGGAGACCCAAGAGGCAGCTCTGGCAGTTGTTAGCTGCTATAAATCAGCTAGGAGCTCTGGTAGCATAGTGGCTAAAAGCACTTGACTGCTAACCAGAAGGCTGGCGGTTCAAACCCACCAGCCACTCCTCGGAAGGAAGGTTGGGCAATCCTACTTCCGTAGTGATACTGCCTCGGAAACCCAAGGAGGGGTCGCTATGAGTCGGGGCCGACTCGACGGCACATAACAACAACAACAACAACATAAATCAGCTGGCTCGTGACAACTCCATGTACATCTGAGCAAAACATTGCCCAGTCTTGTGCCACCTTCACGACCGTTGGTATGCTTGAGCTCATTGTTCTGGGCACTGTATTTTGAGTGCCTTCCAACACAGGGGACTCATCTTCCAAAACTGTATCAGACAGTCTTGTGTTGTGATCCATAAGGTTTTCATTAACTAATTTTCAAAAGCAGAATGCCAGGCTTTTATTCTTAGTCTGAAAGCTCCACTGCAATCTGTCTACCCTGGGTTATGTGCTGAAACGCTGGTGGCATAGCTTCCAATGTTATAGCAACATTGCAAGCCACCACAGTACCACAAACTAAAAGACCAGCAGTAGCTAATCCAAGCTACTGGACCAGAGTAATTAAAGAGATGGAAAGAGGAGGGCAGATTCAGGGTATGTTTTGCAGATGAACGTTTATGGGACGTAGTAAGATTGATCATGCCCAAGCTTGATATTCCATTCATGTCACTGAAATGGCTCTATTTTTCTGTAGTTGCCTATGCTTGTGTGATTTTTATTCTGATGGGCTAGTGCCTTTGCTGTAGTTCAGTGTAGGTTTTGGGCATGTAATGTACTGAAAAGGAAAAAAATTGGGAGATACACGGTTAGGAAGAGAAGTCAAAGTTCTGCCCACCTAAGTATGTAACATTTTCAGATTGAGGAGACTTTAAAGGTGATGTTACGAAATTTTTCTAAACCTTTATTCAAATAATAATGCCCCAAACACTCCAGAAAGCAGCATTTCTATATGACATGAATCTCACTCCTCCCACAACTTCTGCATACCTTTTCCACTAGTGAATGAGCAATGCCTTTGTATTAAGCTCAGAGGGGTTTTTACTAAGGTTTCTTAACCTCCATACTGTTGACATTTGGGTTGGATAATTCTTTGCTGTGGGGTATGTCTGGTGCACTATAATATGATCCCCCAGTTGTGACTGCTAAAAAATGTCTCTAGGCAATGCCAAAGGTCCCTGGAAAGCAAAGTCGCCCCTGATTGAGAACTACTAGTTTATATTAAGCAACAGAACTTTCTCACAGTGCTAATATTAACAATAACTGATATTTATTAAGCACTGGTTACAGTCCCCTTATACTACTGGAACCAATAAGCAATTGGTTAATTTTTAAGATGTATTAAATTTATAAATCATAAAAGTACATACATGTCTTAACTTACCCTAAAATACATCCACTCAGCAATTGGTTGTTGGGCTGCAGTCTTTGATTATGAATCTGCTGGCTTAATTTCCAAGTTGTCACAGTACATAATGAATGCCCCTTCTACCATTTCTACTTTCAGGTACTTTAAAGTGGTACAAGAATTGCTTTCAGCTTTATTCTTGCTTTTTATTGATACATAGATTTGTCCAATTTACAGTTTTCCCACCCATACCTAATTTAATATTTGGCTTTGGGGGAAGGCAGAGAGACAACTAGCTTCTGTTTCTACTACATTCAACCCAGCTTGCACATAAAACCAGAAGTCATTTATACTGTCACAGTTCGTGAGCTGCTGAATATTTAATTACATAATTATCCTAAGTACAACAGTTAGGTTTAGTGACCCTATTAGGGCAGCTCTTTGTGACCATACAATTTATCTGGTGGGACAGAAGCACACAGGGGTATTAGAGAGCAGCCTCCCAGCCAGTCTTCAGGGTACCATTTCTTGAGAGAGCCAGTGTACCAGTCAGTCAGGCCAGTCTTATCAGGTGGCTATTGGTTAAGAGGCCCAGCACCATGTAAAGTACTGTATGTACTTGCATCATCTCCTTTAATCTTCACAGTAGTCCTAAAATATAGGTATATTAAAGTTTTTGTTTTGCCTTTAAGAAAACTGAATTGGAAGTCTCTTGCACAAGGTTACATAGGTAATTATAAATAAATGGACCAACATGTGAAGCCCATGCAATCTAATATGTGCTTTTATCACAAGTCCAAGGGTATTTGTCAGTTTTCTACAGAGCACTAGACTCCAGTCTGGTCCATGATCACAGATGACATCTCTGAATCCTGACAAATCATCAAATTAAGTGCTGTGGCAAAAAATGTGGAAAGATCAATGTAAATCCATCCCTTAGAACAATTCAGAAGATTGATATGAAAGCTCAGTGACTCTGAGGCATCAATTCCATTTATTTAAGGATAACTCAGATAAAACTATTAGTTTCCTATTGCTGCCACAACAAACTGCCACAAATTTAGTGGCTTAAAAACATCACAAACTTATTTCTTACTTAATTCTATAAAGTTACCAAACTTAATTCTGCAGGTTAGAAGTCTGACACAAATCTCACTAGGCTAAAATCAAGGTGCTGGCAGGGCTGCATTCCTTTCTAGGGATAATCTGTTTCTTTGCCTTTTTCAGCTTCAAGAACACACCTACATTCCTTGGCTTGTGACGGCCTCCATCTTCAAAGCCAGTAACATTGTATTTCTAATTCTTCCAGTCACATCTCCCTCTGACTGGGAACTCTTCTGCGTCTCTCTTCCACTTTTAATGTCCCTTGTGATTACATTTGGTTCACCTGTGTAATTCAGGATTCTACTTACTGTAAGGTCACCTGAATAGCAATATAAATTTTACCTGCAACCTTAATTCTCCTTTGCATGTAACTTAACATATTCACACGTTTCAGCAATTAGACATGGTCATCTTGGGGGGAGCCCATTATAAACATTAAGATAATTCAAATGGCAGTGATATTAGTAATCACCCATTTATGAAATACTGTGCTTAGCCTTTTATCTCATTTAATTCTCACAACCCTTCAAGCTAGATAGAATATTTTTACAGATGAAAAACTGAGTGCCAAAGGCTGAGTAACTTGCCAAGCAATAAAGAGCTGGTAAATGTTGGGACTGAGATTTGGAGTGTATCTCACTCCAAAACTTTTTGCTGATATATTAAAAACATTTCACTATGTTCTAACATGTTTCCATTTTAATTTAAAAATAACCTAGAGACTTTAAGGAACTTAAATAAGAAAAATTTTTTCTTTGGCATATTTAAAAACTAGTATTTTGAACAGTTATGGAAAACATTAATGTAATTATAATTCATTAACAATTTTTGCAAAGATAATAAGGTAAATAAATGTGATATCCATTTTTAATTGCCCATTTTAGGTAAAAGTTTAATTATTTAAATTAAAAATTCAGGTCCTTGAACAGTTAAGTAGCTTCCTGGGTCTGACTGAAAACAAACCAAAGGTATCATTTAAAAATAAATCAAAAGGCATTTAACATAACTGACTGAGGAGGACCTAACCTGCAAAGTTTGAAAGACAAATGCTTGACATCTTTTAATTTTTATGTACTATTTTATTACAGGAGATGAGTATGATGTATGTGCCATTTGTTTGGATGAGTATGAAGATGGAGACAAGCTCAGAATCCTTCCCTGTTCCCATGGTATGAGTAATTACACACTAGTTTAAATTTATTTTATATACAGAGTAATTTACATTTAGGATCATATTAGAGGGGAAGAAACAGAAAACAGCACACAAGGCAGGCCCTGTACTAATTAGTGGTCTCATTAAAGGATGGATGTGTATTTATAAAAATTTACAAACTTTCTTGTCCTGTTCTACCTGCATATGGATCAGAAACAAGTGAATAAACATGGAAAGAGATTAAACATAATGATCTCAAGCACAATGTATTAACTAAAACATGTATATTTTGCCTTCAACAGCTTATCACTGCAAGTGTGTAGACCCCTGGCTAACTAAAACCAAAAAAACCTGCCCTGTCTGCAAGCAAAAAGTTGTTCCTTCTCAGGGTGATTCAGACTCTGACACAGATAGTAGTCAAGAAGAAAATGAAGTGTCAGAACATACCCCTTTACTTAGACCTTTGGCTTCTGTTAGCACTCAGTCATTTGGGGCTTTGTCAGAATCTCGCTCCCATCAAAACATGACAGAATCTTCAGACTATGAAGAGGACGACAATGAGGATACTGACAGTAGTGATGCAGAAAACGAAATTAATGAACATAATGTCGTGGTCCAACTGCAGCCTAATGGTGAACGGGATCACAACATAGCAAATACTGTTTGACCTTCAGAGAGCAATTGGTTTATGTCTCTTGGAAATTATATTTAGGTATATAATTTGATTTTTTGGCTCCTTTCAGATTTCTGTAGAAATAACTTATTTTTTAGTATTCTACAGTATAATCAATTATGGAAACAGGCTTTTTGATCCAGTATTTGTCTGCAGGAGTATACTTCATTTCACTGATAAGTAATAATAGAAAGGTGCTGTAACTCAAGCATCAAACTCTCCTTTTGGAATGAAAAATAACCAAAACATTAAAAAAAGAAAAAAAAAAAATTCTCAGTATAGCTTGCAACTAAGGCCTAGATCACAGTATGCAAATGTTTTGTGTTTTACACAAAAAGTCTGTGCTGCTGCTACCTGGCATGAGCTAACCCAACCTCTGTAAGTTACCTAGAGTTGTTGAATTGGAATGTTTGTTGTGGTATTTTTCCAAATTGCCAAAATTAATGAGGTAGCAAAGTAAGTTGACTTTTTCCTCCTATCAGCACTACAAAGGAAAAGATTATACTCAAAGCTGTCTTTTTCCTTCCTATTCTCAAGTAGTCATCCTGTTAAGAATGGTCTGTACTAGTGCAGATATCAAAAAATTTTAAAAGGTTTTTAATACTTTATATTGTGTTATGTATGAATTTGATTCAGCAACTAATGCCTCTGGACTTTGCTTACTGAGTTACAGTAGCCTTTGGGTTGTGTGTGGCTGTTATCAAAGAAAAAAAAAACTAAAAATACCAAATTCAGCAATTGTTCATACTCAAGATGATATACCTCTTAATAAAGAACATCTTATACTAATTAGCCCTGCTAAACTGTGTACAGAGGCAAATGTTCAAGTATTGAATTTGAAAATAAGTGCTTATGTTTAACAGAACTAATGATGTATTTTAACCATGTATTATGAAAAGCTAAATTATATTATACATTATAACTGTAGAAAATATAGACTTATGTATATCAAAATGCTAAAAAATTTTATATGGCCTTGTAAGGGGAGTTTGAATGTTAATAAATATCTTTTCCACTTTAAAAACCAGCAAATGTTTGTTCTACTGTAATCTTACCACATTAGCCTTATTAATATGCAGTGCTATAAAGGTGAGAAATCAGCTAAATATATGCATATCATAGAATTTTTATAAAAGGTAACAGCTCACAATTTGTAACCCCTAACAAAGTTAGAACTGCAGCCAAAATTGTCCCAAATAGTGTATACTGTGGCACTATGTTGTAAATTATGGTACATCCTTACATTAGATTGTTATATAGTCCTGAAAGGATAGATTTATCTGTACGGACATGGGAAACTTAATATGAAGTGAATAAAAGCATGTTATAGAATAATAAGCATACTAGGTATATGGGACTTTTGTTGTAAACAAACGGAAATTTCACTTCATGAATTTAAAAAAAAAAAACACACCTTTTAATTTTATGCACACGTGCACACACAATTATTTCCACTTTGGAAAATAAAAGGTTGAATGCAGTACATTATCTACTGTCTCATACCACTCAATACCCCTTTTTTACCATGGAAGTTAAACAAAACTTTGGAATCTGACATACTTGCCTGGCCCTAACCTTTCTAATCCTGTACGATCATCTGCATAGTTTCATTTAACCTAAGGTAGGTTATGAGAACACTGAGCTCAGTGGGTGACACATAAATGCACAGTACGTAGTCACTTGCACAATAATGATTAAACTAAAATAGTAGCACCATACCTAACACTAATATTTTATATTAAGATCTTTTATAGTTTTTTCATGATTGGATAACTATATAGCTTTTTTAATAGAACGAGTAGAATTAAAACTCAATTTCTATTTAAAAAAACCTTCCTAATATATAATTTTCCCTACTATAAACAGTATTACTTAAACATTAGAAATCAAAATGTAGTCACCTGGTAACTTACCCCAGAGATGAAATTCATCATCTTGATACACTGCTTTCACGTGTATTTTACACTGTTGTATAAATGTATTTACACTGTATGTTAAAATGCTTATATCCTCTTAACATTCAATGGTGAGCATTTTCTCATGTTCACTCTTCAAATGGATATACATTTATTCAACCCATATCCCTCAAAGTTAAACTTTGTTCAAGTTTTCTAAGTTTAGTAATGCTTTGTGACTTACAGTAAATAAATTTGTATAGCTCAATTTCCTTACGCTAAATTCAGAGAACTAAGAAATAAGCCAAGAATACATGTCTGTAGTTTTCACAACTGTTTTTGCAAATGAAACTGGGAGAGGGGGCTGATGACTAGTTTCATTATTTAGTATTTTAGCTGATAGTTGCCTCTACCATCTTCCACTCCCCTACCAGCAACCCCCACACACACACACCCATTTACCAACTAACAGATTTTTATTCAACAAGGATTTCACAATTTTGCCCACTGCTTTCTGTAATAATTCACCCTAATAGCTCTTCACAACTAAAGTATGAATGCGTATTACTGCAAAATCTCCCATCAGCACAACTGAGCAGCCAAATTTTCATTTGCAAACTTTTGTCCCTAGCAGGGATCTTAATAATAACAAGCAATACTGTCTTTGTTGTTTCATAGCTAGGATCTGCCCAACTACCAAAGTAGCTGCAAATCCTTTATCTTCCACACTTTTACATGCCTATATATGTAACTCCTAATGACTGACAACACTGTCAAATAAAAAAATTTTAGTTATACTGTGTATATTAAGGCAAGGAAGTTAATTCCTATACCATAAACACTGTTTCTAAAAGGGCAGCTTTGAGGCTACTTAAAAATAAGTCACCTGGTGATTGTTTAAGAGGGACTTGCTTAGCCTACAGAATCTCCACCTGCAGGGAGCCCCAAAGTCCACAATCTGCATTATAAACAGCTCCCCAGTTTCACCTTAGATCTACTAACTTTTGAGCAGTTCTGCTTAAGTTTCTGCTTGAGAGTTCATGGTAATAATGATCTTTGTAAACAGTACTAAACTACCTATTTACCAAACTCACCTAACACTTCTCACGGATTTATCTTAGGACTGGTAGGATTAAACTGGACTATAGGAGCTCTGGTAGCATAGTGGCTAAAGCACTTGACTGCTAACCAGAAGGCTGGCGGTTCAAACCC